CGTCGAGGACGAGCGTGATGAGAGTATCTTCGACCAAGGATTTGATTATCAAGGTGAAAATATTGAGCCCCTGCACCAAGACCCGGCCACATTTGAACAGTTTGTCCATTTCCACCGTGAGATGCGTGATTGGCACACTCATTTGAATCTTCAAAATGACTTGGTTGAGCACGTTTGGGATCACATTGGCAACCAATAGATGTATTGGTCCAATTTAGATTCAGTCAAGACAATTTCGATTTGGTTGTAAAATTATTTTATTAAAGACAATTTCAGTTGAGTTGTAAAACTATTTTAATTTTTAGACAAATATGTGGGTTGGAAACTAGTTTTGATGCAATTTGGGCATTTTTGGCCCTGACGGACAGGACGGGGCAAATGGATTCGGCCACGCGCTGGGCGCACGTCCACCGCATCTCAGGACAGGCCCGGACACGACCCCAAATCGCTATCCAAACGGACATAATCCGGACAAACGGACGTCCGTTTGGGGTCGCGCGGTGGAGTTGGCCTAATTGGATGGACTGATCACTGACACTGTTAAGCAGGTACGATCGACGCGGTGATGCCTTGCTTGTGCGCTCTCCCGTGAACTCTCTCTGCCCCGTCACGGCCACCAACGGGCGAGCATTTCGATGTTCATTCCCCTTCCCCTTTTCGTTCCTCCCAGTCTGGAATTTTTGTCATATAAGACCATCTATGCTTTCGTATTGTCAAAAAAGACCACACCCAGATCGTATTGACAAAAAGGACCACGTACACTGTGGCAGCAGGTCTGGCAGCCGACACGTGGCACCTGCCGCCACAGCAGCCGGCGGCAGGACTTGCCGCCACAGACGGCGGCGGCAGCTTCTGTTTAACAGATTTTTCGCCTCTGCATCGATCCACAACGGAACGGAAAGGCTAGGTGGGCCCTGCCGCCATGGAGGGTGACGGCAGCTTCTTTTACTGTCGTGCGACGCAACATCTCATTGAGAAGGTACTCTGCGCCTAGCACTTAGCGGCGCGAGGAAAATACATGGGCTGGGCAAGAATTAAACCAATCACTCTGCGCTGAAAAATCTCGCAATTAAGCCAACGACCTGACCCTACTCCACCATGCAGTCTCGGCCCACGTTCAACGCACTCTTGCCAATCAACGCTACTATCTTGGTAATTACTAACAACCAACGAGCGGCTAACTAGCACAGTAAAATGAGCTGCTGCCACCTTCTTTGACGGCATGGCTCACATGCCATCTCCGTTCTGTTATGTATCACTGTAGAGGCGGAAAACCTGTTACATGCAAGCTGCCGCCGTCGGCTGTGGCGGCAGGTCCTGCCCCCAGCTGCTGTGGCGGCAGGTGCCACGTGTCGGCTGCTGGACCTGCTGCCACAGTGCATGTGGTCTTTTTTGCCAATACAGTTTGGGTGCGGTCTTTTCTGGCAATATAAATGTGTAGGTGGTCTTTTCTGACAAAAATTCCCCAGTCTGACCATTCTCTTTCCCCTTTCCTTCACTTCAGTAGCTCCCTTTCCTTCTCCTCAACCACCACCTGGCCTCTTCCCTACGTGCTCGCCGATCGATGGAGTGGACACCAAAGCAGCAGGCTCTCGGCGGCCTCGGCCTCGCCGGCGTCTGCCGGGAGACCTGCCATGTGATCCACCGCGCCATGCTCCCCAACTTCGTCAACCTGGGTCCCCCGCTGCTCTCCGCGCTCTTGCTCGCCAGCTCCGCCGCCGTCCGCGCCCTCTGCTCCCGCGTCCTCGCGGACCTCCACGACCACGACGGCCCCAGCCTCCTCTGCCTCGTCACGGACCGGCTCGCCTTCTTCCTCTTCGTGGCCGTCTCCATCGGCCTTGTCCTCCTGCTCCTGCTCCTCTGCGCCGCCGCCTACCTCTTCTGTGTCGTCTCCCTCTACTCCACCGGAGGCGACCTCCGCGCCGCCGATCGCGTCCTCAGAGGGTTCCCCACGGTCCCGCTCACGCGGTTCGTCTGCACCTTCCTCCTCGCCGCCGTCCCCTTCTTCGTGATCTGCACCTCCCTCTTCGTCGCCGCCTTGTTCCAGCCCCAGGAGCCGCTCGGCGCTGCGGACAAGATCATGCTGCCGCTGCAGCTGCTGGGATGGGCCGCGTTCCTCGCCAGCGCGGCGTACGTCGCCGTGGTGTGCCAGCTGGCCTGCGTGGTGTCCCTGCTCGAGGACGCAGTGCTCTTCGGCGCCCTGCGCAAGAGCCGCGCGCTCGTCGTGGGCAAGTTCTGGGCGGCCGCCGGCGTCTTCGTCACGCTTGACGGCTGCATCTTTGCCGTGCTGGTGGCTTTCCCCGTTCTGGTGGTGGACGATGCGCTGGGCCTCGGCCTCGGGTTCCAGGTGGCCGCCGGGGTGGCGATGGCAGTGGCTCTATGCGCGGTGGTGCTGTTGACGCTGGTGGCGCAGCCGGTGGTCTACCTGGTGTGCAAGAACCACCACCACTTGGTCGTCGACAAGGTTCACCTCGACTGAGTACGAGCGGCCCTCCGTCACACGGGCGTTGAGCGGCTGCAGCCCGGCAAGACGGAGCAGATTCCAGTAACTCTGACTAGCTAGCTGCATCCTGTCCACGACTCCATGGTAGCAACTTGAAGAAGATTTGCTCAAGTAGTACAGTAGCTTAGTAGTATTCCCTCCGTTCACTTTTATAAGTCGTTTCAGACAGCTGAAAATGAACTGATTTGCATGTTCTCTGAAATGTCTTCAAGGACTTATAAAAGTGAACAGAGGGAGTAGTAGTAGTAATAAGTTGCTGTAGTCCTATGTTTATGTCAACTGTCGTCGTGAGTTTATGTCTGATTATGACTGCACCGGATATGCATGCTTGGGATTATGTATGTGTGTGTGTGAGGGTTTGTGAGACTGTGAGTAGGAGTAGCTAGTACGACTGTTTAAGGTTGATAAATTTTGCATGAACCATGTGAGACAAATCAAGTGTATGTTCGTGCATGGCCAAAGCGTGTAATCTTGGTCACATCATGTTTTTTTTTTTTTGAAGCTTGGTCACATCATGTTTGCACAGATGTTTATTTACTTGCTCGTCATGTCATTATTAGTGTGACCCTGCTATCGTTTCATTTTTTTACTCAAAGAGAAGAAATTGCTTCAAGGGAATTGGTACAGTATCATTTTAGAAAATTATGTATTTAGCACAGTATGTGAAACTATAAGGATGCAACAAATATTTACCAAGGCAAACCCCTTCAAATGTTACAAAGAAGTTAGTCTGTCAAAGAAGAGGTCAATAATATGACTGATATTGTCAGTTTATTTGTTTGCCAGATGTGGTTATTAGATAGCATCTTGATATTGCTTTCAAGATTATTAGTGTGTATGTGTGTTTGGCTTGTCATTAAAATCTCAACCATCTATGATCGTCTAGATATTCCATCTAGCAACAAGTATGATCTCCAATGAATATGGGTGCTTAGAGCATCTACAGCTGGACATGGCAAATTCGGACCCTTAAACACGTGCCCGGACGCGTCCGCGGGCACTGACTAGTTAGTCCTTAAATTCTGTCGTCCGCATCCACGTATCTCATATTTGATCCACTATATCCATACTAAACCACGCAACATCTATAGAAACTACGTAGATCATGAGCGGACAAATAAACAGGCATACAAATAACAATCCGTTCACCAAAAGATCACAGTCGGATTTTCAAAAGATCACCACAATTCACATAATGCACATGATACGATGGACAAGTTTAAACTACATCTAAAACCTTGAAATTAAAGTGAAGAAAGTGGATGCTCACCACTTCCTCACCGGTCCTTTCCCCTTACGGTCGCCGATGCAGTTGTAGGCGTTAGCGGCTGGTGGAGGATCATCCGAGTTGTCGGACGAGGTGCCGTAGTCGTCGCCGTCGTTGTTGGAGGAGGAGAGGATGATGAGCCCTTTGAGACGCCGGAAGGCCCGGTCCTGCTGCCGCTTGAGTTTTGCCATCCGAGCTGCCTTCGTCGCTTTCTCCTCGGCCTTGGCGTTCTTCCTTTGTATTTAGCCGATCGGATAACATGAGCCATGAAATAACTTGATTTTATTGACACACTTATAAGCCCAAATCCACTTAAAAGGAGCCGAGACATGTATGTGCTGAAAAGGGAGCTTACAGAATCTACCATAAAAGTAAGGAAGTAAACATCGGATTTTTTGCTAAAAAAGGAAAATCTGAATTTCAGATGAAGGTCCAAGAATCATTAATTACCAGAGATGTTTCGAACTACTCCCTCCATTTCAAAATAGATGACTCAACTTTATACTAACTTTAATACAAAATTAGCATAAAGTTGGATCATCTATTTTGGCGTAGTTGAACTTGGCTAGCAAGTCGTAACAAACCCCTGTAATGTGAATGTACAGCGCGCCGGGCACCTACGGATGATGACACGCTTTCTCCTTTATTCTTCTTTGTGCATGTCAGGCAGTCGTAGCAGCTGCAGTGGCCATGATGGGTTCCACATTAATTGACGGCACCGATGCAAGCACGTCGGTCGATCGGTCGAGCTTTGGATCGACTCTCGACACGCGAGCGATGCCACAGCCACAGCCAGTCCCAGTTTCCGGGAAGCTTCACGTATGGGTCTCAGGCAGGGCCACCACCCTCGATCACGTCTCCTCTCCATCGTCTTCGTCTCTCTGTGGATGCAGTCCTGTCCTTTTACTACTTACGTGATTGCTTTGGTGGTCATCGCTTCATGCATTCAGATGCCATGCTTTGCTCGCAGTGGAAGGCGTGCAGCAAAGTTTTAAGCTAGCTAGGCGCGCGCGGTGACTGGGTAGTACGTAAACTGGTCGGTGGCCTAGCCGTTGCTGAAACACAATTTAGAGACGATGCCTTGTGCGCTCTCACGTGAACTCCCTCTGCCTCGTCAGGGCCACCAACGCCAACGGGCGAGCATTTCCATCTTCATTCCCCTTCACTTCAGTAGCTAGCTCACTTTCCTTCTCCTCAACCACCACAGCCTCCCTACGTGCTCGGCGATCAATGGAGTGGGCGGCTGAGCAGCAGGATCTCGGGGATCTCGGGCTCGTTGGCATCTGCCGCGAGACCTGCCGTGTGATCCACCGCTCCACCCTCCCCTACGGGGCGGCCGTCCTGGAAGCCGTACTTCTCTCTGCGCTTTTGCTCGAGCACGTCGCCGCCTTCCGCGGCCTCTGCTCCCTCCTCGAGGCCGAAGACGGTTCCAACCTCATCCGTTTCGTCGCCGTGCGGGGCGCCTTCTTACTCTTCGAGGGCCTCTCCATGTGCCTCGCCGTCTTCTTCTCCCTCCTCTGCACCAGCGTCTACGTATTCCTTATCGCCTCCCTCTATTGTACCCAGGGCGACCACCGCGCTTCCCGTAGCCTCCAGCAGCACCTCCCCCGTGTCCCCCTCGAGCGCTTCATCTCTACCTTCTTCCTCGCACTCGCACTCGCCGTTGTCATATTCTTCGTCTTCCTCGCCGCCTTGCTCCTACTCCACTACGAGGCCGGCCTACCGCTGCAGCTGCTTGGCGTGGCCACCTGCCTCGCCGGGGCGGCCTACGTCGCCCCGGTTTTCCATCTTTCCTGCGTCGCGTCGGTGCTCGAGGACGCCGTCAAATTTGCCGCTGTGCGCAAGAGCCGCGCGCTCCTCGCCGGCAAGTTCTGGGCCGCGGCGGCCGTCTTCCTCACGCTCGACGGCTGCTTCGTGGCCCTGCAGCTGGCCTTCGCGCGGCTGGTGCTGGACGACGCGCTCGGCCTCGGCCTCGGGTTCCAGGTGGCCGCGGGAGTGGCGCTCTTCGTGGCTCTGTGGGCGGTGGTGCTGCTGACGCTGGCGGCGCAGCCGGTGATCTACATGGTGTGCAAGAACAACCACCACGAGGTGGTCGATAAGGTCCATCTCGACTACATCGGAGAGTATGAGCGGCTCGCCGTCGACGGCGACAACGGCGTGGAGCTGCAGCTAGCCGGTGGCGACGGAGCAGATCCCTGAAACTACGCCTAGCTAGCCGCGTCCTGCGTGTCGACGACTCCACCACGTTAGTACTACTACGAACTAAGCTTTCTCTCTACTAGTACTTAGCTAGCTCCAAGATGATTTGAGACGATTCATAAGATGATGCAGTCGTATGATGTGAATTATGTCTGATCCGCTTGTCACTGTACAAAGACATGCATGGATGAACAATATGATGTATTAATGTGTGTGCTGAGTACAAAGTAAGTGCATTTGGATGAACAATATGACCGTATGCACGAGAAAAGCCTATCTACCATGCACGCACTGGATATCCCATGCATGTAGTGGCCGTTGATCATGAATGATGGAGATTCGTGTTCATGCATGCATGTCAAATGGGTCACATCAACTGGTCACTCTTTTCCACTCTGCCAACCTTCCTTTTTCATCTCACCTCTCTCCTCCTACCATTCCATGTTTTTTCCTTTGACATTAATGTTAGAATCCATTTTATCTTTTGAACTGAATTTTTGATTTACATTTCGTTTGCATATTTGTGTTCCTTAAGATTAGGACTTTAAAAGGAGAACACTCTTGAGTATATTTTTTTTAAAAGGAAAAAAACCTATTTTAAACCCTGAATTTGTAAAGGTTAGGTGAAACGAACCCCAACATTAAAATCCCTGTCAATTGTGCCCTATACTATGCAATCCTGGTCTAAAACGAACCCTAGGGTCGTTTGGAACACAGGGATTAGTATCATGCCCAGGATTGGTAGCGCGCCGGAAAAAATTGGGCGAGCCCAGTCTGGCCCAGCAGGCTATCCACTTTGTGCAGTCCGTGAAGCACAGCAACCTACAGAGAACGCAAAAGAAAAATAAATAATATGCGAGTAGCAAGAATAGAACTGCAGTGCTGTGCATTCACAGTTGTAGCCGTTAACCAGTACGTTAATTCCACTTAGTTGTACAGTAAAACAAAATTAGTCCTATTTGACCCTTCTTTAGTTCACGAAATGAAAAAAAAACTCTAAAAATTCGATATAGTTCACGGAAACAAAAAAAGATCATGGATTTGGCAAAAACAAAATCACGACACAGTCGTCAACACTGCGGCTTAAAGTTCATAAATGTAAAAATAATTGATTTTCAAATAATCTCATAAATAGTCAAAAAAAGGTTCATAGGTTTGCAAAATCTTCATCTATTTAGAAAAAACAGTTCGTGGATTTAAAAAATTTCAGAGATTCTAAAAGTTGCACGAGCTTTGTAAAAATGTTCACAAATTGAAGAAACATATTTTAAATAGTTCCACACATTACACATTTTTTACGTATTACATAAAAAAGAAAAAAGATAAAACATGAATTAAATAATTTTTTCATGGATTACATAAAAAAGGAAAAAGTTTCCTGTATTAAATATTTTTTAGCACTGTAATAGCAAAATGGACCAGCCCAGCATGGGGACAGGTGCACACCGTGGTGAACACTGCGGCTGAAAATTCATATATTTAAAAAATCATCGTTTTTCAAAACAAACTCATAAATTTTCAACAACAGTTCACAGGTTTGGAAAAAGTTCATCAATTTTGAAAAAGAGTTTATGAATTTTGAAAAAACATGGATTTAGAAAAATTTCCATGATTTTGAAAAATAAAGTTCACAGATTTCGGAAAACTTTCATGGATTCTAAAATGTCCACCAGATTTTTAAAAAGGTTCAAAAAAATTAGAAATAAGTTGAATAACATTTCACGCATTAGATATTTTTTCACGGATTATATAAAAAAGAAAAAAAGGAAAAAAATCACGCATTAGACATTTTTTTTCACGGATTATATAAAAAAGAAAAAAAATCGTGCATTAGATCTTTTTTAGCAGTGTAACATAAATAAAATGGGCCGGCCCAGCGCGCCGTTGTCAAGACTGCCGCTTTCTGGCCCACTAGTCAGGCGAATCTCGGTTGACATCTGTCAGGATTTGATTTAGACCGGGATTGCATAGTTCAGGGTGCAATCGATAGGGATTTCGACATGGGGGTTCGTTTTGCCGAATCTCTACAAGTTCAAGGTTTAAAATGGATTTTTTCCTAAAAAAATATTCAATATTGGTCTTATTTTGAATATCACAGTGGAAATAAACACATTTGTCCAAATAGAATGTAAATCAAACTTTTGTTTCACAAGATACCAGGCATCTAAATTTACATAGAAAGAAATAAGAGAGGAGATATTTCTGGGAGAGTTATAGAGAGAGAGGTGGAGCATGCGTGGACCTGATAGCAATGGTTCTCACACACAACCTGACCATGGCGCCAGAACATGCATGGGATATCCCGTGCATGGTAGATAATCCGCTCTCATACACCAATTTAAGTGTCTGATTTGTTCCATTTTTATTCTCCGAAAACCCTCAAGCATCCTTAGCAGACCTCGTATAACGCCGACCTACAAAATGCATTTAGAGTTCGCGGGAAAACGGGTTTGCGGGTCGGCGCCGGAGAGGACAGAGTCAGACCCTACAATATGGACCCGTAAAAAAGATATTCGCAGAAGATGTTCTTTTACGGGTCAGCTACGCGGGGTCTGCTCGGGCGCCGCCACGTCGACCCGCAAACCGAAAACCCCCAATAAACGAATTAGACAGCGATTCTGACAAATGAGTTCAAATTCAAACAATAAAACATACTTCGCGCGTAAATAAAAGCATAGTTTTGTAGGACAAACGTAAAAGGACTTCATGCAAAAGCAACGACCACGTCCGTCATCATCTTGGTGGCTCTTCAGTCCGCACTACCTCCATCGAGGTCATCGCCAACATTTGTTTCAACTCCGGCGCCGAAATCGTTGGCGGGCGCACTGAATGCATCCGCGACATTGGTTCCAAATCCGGATGAGAAAACATCGCCGGCACTTTAACACGCACCGGTCGACTCAAGCATCCTCCTCTTCAAGGTGTCTGTCCTTGCCATACCATGTCATTCTTTGGTGATGTCGTCCATGTCATTGCGGTTCAATGTCATGATCCTAATCTCTTCAGCAAGAAACTTGGACATGGCTTTGTTCTCAGCGGCGCGTGCTCTTCTCTCCTCAATGGCCGCCTTGCGCAACCCCTCGTCCTTGAGCAATTGCCACTTCTCTTACTTCTCTCATGCCTTCTTCTCGGCCAACTCTTTCTTTTTCTCCAGTGTCATCGCTAACATCAACTCATTTGATTGCACTATGGCATCTATCTTGTCCTGCAAGCTCGATGCTTCATGTTCCCTCTTGATCTTCTCCTTTGTCTTCTTGTCACCATCGGGCTTGTTCAAGTTTCTTGGGCCATCATCATCTTCATTTTCATCCATTTTTCGTAAGTGAACCTCTCTTCGGTGGGGATTCTTTGTCAATCAACTTCCACTTGTCGCACTCTTTAAGCATATCCCAACAATGCTCTAGTTTAAAAAAATTGCCTTCAGAAGCTTCCATGTCTTTGTATCTTTGTTGGCCAATTTTGTCCTACACAATTAAAACAAAGTCAAATGATGCAATCACTTCATATGATGCAAATAATGTGCACAACTTGGGATGTGAAAACAAACTCACATAGTTGGATTCCACAGTTCCACTTGGAGGTGCATTGCGAACTTGTTCCAAGCAAGCTGCCCAACGGCTACAAATCGCTTGATCATGTCCCAATGACCTTGGAGTGACCGAAAGGTCTGTGGTGTCCTATTGGGATGCTTGGCCATCACGCGGAAGTATTGATCTTCGATTCTTTGCCAATATGTCTTGGAGGTATGAGATGTACCTGTGCAAGCATCAAGAGACACTGCACTTCAAGCCTTGATCAAGATTTGATCTTCCAAGATCGTGTAGTTCTTCGATCTCATGCTTTTTTTGCTTGCGCTTGCTCATACGCCCCCTCATCTACCTCCTCCACTTCATCATCACCACCGTGATCATCCACGCCACCCTCCATTTCATTGTAATCAAAATTAGTGAACGGGGCTTGATCGATGTCGATGACGTTGGTGTCCAACAAGTTCACGAACTCGGCAGTGGCATTGTTCGAATCACTGCTACATTGAGTGACATCAAGTCAAGAGCTACCACAATGGCGAAAAGAGAAAGCAAGAACAAGAGATCGAAGATGCATACCTTCCGGTCATTTCATCGAACACCTCGCCTGCAGTGGAAGCAGTGAAGGAAATATGCCCTAGAAGCAATAATAAAGTTGTTATTTATATTTCCTTATATCATGATAAATGTTTATTATTCATGCTAGAATTGTATTAATCGGAAACTTAGTACATGTGTGAATACATAGACAAAACAAAGTGTCCCTAGTATGCCTCTACTTGACTAGCTCGTTAATCAAAGTTGGTTATGTTTCCGGACCATAGACATGTGTTGTCATTTGATGAACGGGATCACATCATTAGAGAATGATGTGATGGACAAGACCCATCCGTTAGCTTAGCATAATGATCGATAAATTGTATTGCTATTGCTTTCTTCATGACTTATACATGTTCCTCTGACTATGAGATTATGCAACTCCCGAATACCGGAGGAACACCTTGTGTGCTATCAAACGTCACAACGTAACTGGGTATTATAAAGATGCTCTACAGGTGTCTCCGAAGGTGTTTGTTGGGTTGGCATAGATCGAGATTAGGATTTGTCACTCCGTGTATCGGAGAGGTATCTCTTGGCCCTCTAGGTAGTGCTCATCACTATAAGCCTTGCAAGCAATGTGACTAATGAGTTAGTTGCAGGATGAAGCATTATGAAACGAGTAAAGAAACTTGCTGGTAACGAGACTGAACTAGGTATGAAGATACCGACGATCGAATCTCGGGCAAGTAACATACCGATGACAAAGGGAACAACGTATGTTGGTGTGCGGTTTGACCGACAAAGATCTTCGTAGAATATGTAGGAGCTAATATGAGCATCTAGGTTCCGCTATTGGTTATTGATCAGAGATGTGTCTCGATCATGCCTACATAGTTCTCGAACCCGTAGGGTCCGCACGCTTAGCGTTCAATG